ATCATAATACAAAATGTATTAACATATCGGATTTGGCACATCTATAGACAGACAGACATTTTGATTTTTCATAGGGATTCATATGAAATTTATAAAATGCTGAATTTTTCCAACGAATTGATCGGTTTCGACGGTTAGGGGGTCGTTGGAAAGGTATTGAGCACTAGAATAAAAATATCGATGTTTTAGGAGTCAATGACCTTTTAGTGCCATCTATGGTCATGAAACTGAATTTTGACCCTTTTCTTGAAAGGACCATATTTTGAAGACAGGTGGACCGATTTTCAAACTTTTATATTTTTTCTTGATCCATAGCCCAAGGGCTTTCCAACCATACATCAACCGGGGCCAACGGCCTTCTAGGTCTGGATTTTGTATAAGATTGCTATAGAATAAAAACAGCGTATGAAAAGGTTGCATTTCAAAGCGAAACACCGTCATACAAAATACAGCAAAAAATGTATGTAAAAACAACCTTTGGTGTGCGACCGTATCATACGCTGTATTTATTCTAGAGAATTCATATTACGTGTATATATAGCGAGTCGACTTTTCAACATACTAATGTGGTTTCGTCATTTGCGCGTACTGCCGTCTGCTGTGATTCACAAGAAAACTGAATCTGACAATAGTTTTGCGAAACAAATAATTTTTGACACACTTTTCATGAATAATGATCAACCAGCATCAATCTATTGAAGAAAAGAAAACATGTTATTACCTAATAAACTAAAATAGTTATTACGAAAGCTTGTATATTGTGGCTTTGATTTGTACATAATATCTGAGATATTATGTATAAAGTACCCCACGGTAAGAATAATTTTACCAACAAATTGATTACAATTATTATTGGTGTTGATTCATTGTTATAAATAAATTTAATTCGAGTGTAGCGCACAGTTGATGATAACATGATTGGGTAAAACGGTCGATTCTCTATTTTAATTAACATATTGATTTCAATTAATTATTATTATTATGCTTAACTCTTTTTGCCTCTTTTTTTCATTGCATTGTGACGTTAAATTCGACTGAAACAACACACATCTGCAACCCGGCATTCGACCATCAATTATATACCCGATATTATATTATATTATATTTTGCTCCAACAATTGTTTAGTGGGTATGTACAAGAAATATTCGACGTTAAATAATTACATAATGAAAAATTAATGGAAGAAATCATGTTTTTATTATATTTTTATAGGATAGAAGTTAATAGAGAATGGATAAATATTTCAAAAAGAATGGAACAATCAAAGGCATCATTAGATATTTGTAAAAGTGATTTCGAAACATTCATTTTGATAAACAGCAAATTTTTCCGACAAAATGTGCAATCACCGATCGAAGATGACGACCAAAGTCGTTCAGAACACTTTACAAATACTTCGATGGAAATTGAAGATAATGAAAATCTGGTAATCGAAGAAAGAAATGACGAATATTTTGGCATTTATGACACAATTAGTTGCAAAGATAACGATGGCCTAAATGAAATTATCAGAAGAAAAAATATTCCTCCTTCAGAACAGGATGAATGTAGCTGTATTGATATGGAGGTAACATTAAAGTGGTCAGATGTCCAATTTTTAGTAAAAAACTTCTAACCAGTAAACATCCCCAGTGGTTAGATTTTTTTTCAAATTTCCTATCAAATGTGGTAGAGGGGTCCAAAATATCACGTTTGTCATCAAATTTTTTTTCCAAATTGACATGGGGTCTGGGTACGCTTCCTTGAACTGTCAAAAATCCTCTTTTTATGTTTTATACGGTCATCTATATCTTTTCAACGACGCAAAATATTCGAATGCTTTCTTCGACAATGATGTAGCCCTTGAAGAGACAAAAAAAAAATAACCAAAGAAGGGTCAATGACCTCTCCTTGGGAGTAAAAAAGACCCCAGAAGTAACCCATCATGGCAATGACCAAAATGGGGTCGGAAACCTTCCAAATCCAAAAATTGATCCCATTTTTGGATTCCTCAAGAAAAATTACTCATTGCCGAAGAAAGTATTCGAATATTTTGCGTCTTTGAAAAGATAGAGATGACCGTATATAACACATAAACGGTATTTTTGACACTTCAAAAGGGCGTACCCAGACCCCATGTCAATTTGGGGAAAAAAAAATGATGCCAAACGTGTTATTTTGGACCCCTCTACCACATCCAATAGGAAATTGAAAAAAATCCTTTGGGGATGTTAACTGGTAAGTTTTAATTCCTAAGGCATCCTTACAAGTAATGGTATCAAATTATAAGTGCCGTGTTCGGTTTTCCGTGCTTGTGCCAAAAAAAAACAATATATTGTTTCATGTGTAAATGGACACACGATTTTGCATAAACTAGTACATTTTGAAGAAAAATGGAATCTTTCACCATACCAAACGCCTGTAATCAATGCGCTTCGCAGTTGAAACTTTTCCAATGACATTTTTTTGGCAAAAACATGCAGTTGAATACCATTACTAGTAAGCCTACATTTTCGTGTAAAAAATATTCTCCTATATTTTTCTATTAAATTATTAACATGTTTCCAGATAACACGATCATCATTTGCACCAGTCCTGAAACAATTAAAAATGAAAATTCTTCCCATTCAAACCAAAATGAAGGAAAGAGAATTGAAATTTTTGCTATCAAAGGGAATGGATCGTGAAAAAATCCTTAATTTTGATAAGAAAGAAGACATACTGTTGTGTGAAACATCCACAACTTCTACCGACAATTTTAAATCAAAACTAAAACCATCCCATGACCGTTTTGAAGAGATGCGATCATTTTTACAGCAAAAACCTTCGGTTATTAGTATCCCACCAAATAACTTACCACTCAATAATTATGAAGATATTATAGAATAGTTTAACTGCTTTTATTCATTTTTTTTTTAATATGTACATTTTAAATCAAATTTAACCCATGCATAAATTTTTTTCGGCAAGAGAACTATTTTTAATGATTATTTTGGTTAAAAATTCCTTTAAAAATAATCGAAATTCAAAAAATTGCATAGTTTACTCAAAAAAAGCTATTGACAAAATTGGAGAACAATCGAAACCATTGTTTAAACTGCTATAAAACTGCCATAAACGAAGAGGAAGATAATTGTTTTGTCAAATTTCTGTTTTTGCGTACATCTGTGTTTAAAGGCAGGGTTATGCACTAGAGGATTAACTTATTTTTTCTTTTACTTATATAATTTTTTTTATATTTTCTTTCTTTGAACGCAAACATTTATTAACTCCAAAGAATTTTTGTAAAGATGAATAAACACAAATATTAGGTGATTCATATTAATAATAATAGCTGCACCGGACAACGTTCATTCGCATTGGTGTTTTATTAAAAATAATTTAAATAAATAAAATACAAATTGCACAATTTTCATCAAGCATCTTGGAGAGAGTTGAAAAATTGTTTTTGACTTTGACATTTATTATTCTACATAAATGGGTGTTTCTCATATCTGCAAAGGAAAAAATTGTAATTTTCAAATTCTGAAATATGGAATCCACACTACGACAATATGTGCAAAAGAATTGAGTCAATACAAAAACAATTTTTATTATATGCTCTAAGGAGAATGGCCTGGAACGATTTTAGACTGCCAAAATACGAACACAGACTACTATTTCTGCAAATGATTACTCTTGAGGAGAGACGCAAGATGGCGCAAGAATGATTACTTTTTACAATTCATTTATTTGAAAATCAATTACCATTAGTTAATGTAAATTGAAATTTTCAATTTATTTTTTTCAATTCATTGAATTGAATTTTCAATTACCATTTACATTCAAATTGGGAAATGAATTGAGGAGCCAACTAGAAGGAGCCAGGAGAAATGGGAGCCAACTAGAATCTCTGCAACTACACGCAATTGAAATGAATTTCAATTCATTTCCCAATTTGAATGTAAATGGTAATCAAATAAAAAACCTCTATCGAGGTGAAGAACGAGTGACGATACCAAAATTTGAAACACAAAATTTCTGATATCAATTTTGTGACGAAAATAGTTGGTAGATATTTTTTCTGTGAACTGTGAATATAAATTTAATATACATTTGTATATTCGAAACGTTGCAGAAATTCTATCTTCTTCTTTTTACTTTGAGTTCATACTGACGCATTGAAGCAACGTTCCGAATATACAAATGTATATTAAATTTAAATTCACAGTTCACAGAAAAAATATCTACCAACTATTTTCGTCACAAAATTGATATCAGAAATTTTGTGTTTCAAAATTTGGTTTCGTCACTCGTTCTTCACCTCGATAGAGATTTTTTATTTGATATCAATAGTTTTGTAAGCGCTATTTTCAATGTTAAAGATTCAAGAAAACATGAATTTGAATCTTTTTCAAATACAATGAAAATATGGATCTTTTGGTTATTTTTGGATCAAAATCATATAAATTGTGGTTAATAATGGGGAAAAGTGTTTTTTTCTGTGGTGTGCGATATGCATATTTTTTTATCTTCAACTTTGGGCTTAAATTGATGAAATTTTCAAGAGAATATATGCAGTCTTTTTCGAAAAAATGCCCGTTATGTGTGCGGCCAACGGTCAATTTTTGGTTTTTGGCCAATTTGGCCACCCCCACATAACATTTTTAAGTCGCAATTGGCACCACTCGAGAGCTTACTTTAAGACCTTTCCAACGAATATGCATATGTCCTGGTTATGTCAAGTCTAGGTCCCACAGTGACCGTATGAAATAATGGCCATTTTTGCAAGACCTTTTGCATAGTTTTCCATTTATACTAACATTTTTGTAGATTTCTTTTAATTTCATTTGTGACTAACCGCATGCTCCTCTGCCGATGATAGTCCAACTTCTGGCCTGGTGGGAGGGGACATAAAATTCAGTATTTTATCGATCTTATGCGAGGAAACTATCAATCATGTAGTTATTTGTTGTTAAAATTTCATATTTCATACATATAGACATTTTTGTGAAAATTCGAATTTTGGTACATTTGGCCGATTTTTGGTGGAATAGCCATCCAAAACGGTCGATATTTTGTTCAATTTTGTTTGGCTAGTCACAGAGCATATTTACAGAGTCATTGGAGTACATTTTGGCCCATAAAATACTTCAAATGTTAACAGTAACATTTTTGGTCATATTCGCAATATCAAAGGCCATATCTCGAAAACAAGAATTTTCTGAGATATGAGCTATGCGGCATTTTATAGCTTAGACTTGGGCCTAAAAATTGATGTAATTTTCAAGTGACCAAGAAAGGCTAGTTTTCGAGCTAATGACCATTAAGTGTCCGGCCAACTGGTAACTTTTTGGTTTTTGGCCAATTTTTGGACTGCAAATGAGTTCAATCGATAGCTCACTTCAAGACCTTTCCAATGATATGCATATGTCCGGGGGGTGTCAAGTCATGGCGCTTCGGTGACCATAGGAAAAAAAGTCGAAAAGTGACTTTTAGAGGCCGGCCATGGCCAACATGGCGGTCAAATCGAAAAGTGCCGGAACAAAAAAGTCTTAGTTTTTTATGTACTTTAATCCCAGAAAGTTTCAAAGAGGTACGCGAAAAAAGTGCACAGACACACAGGCAGACATTTTAATATTTCATAGAAATTCATATGAAATTTTTAAAATAATAAATTTTTCGAACGGATTAACCGATTTCGACGTTTGAGGTATCGTTGGAAAGGTATTGAGCTCTAGAATTCGAATATCGATATTTCACCTCATTTAGTGCCATCTATGGTCATGAAACTGAATTTTGACCCTTTTCTTGAAAGGACCATATTTTGAAGACAGGTGGACCGATTTTCAAACTTTTATATTTTTTCTTGATCTATAGCCCAAGGGCTTTCCAACCATACATCAACCGAGGCCAACAACCTTCTAGGTCTGTATTTCGTATATTACGTGTATATATAGCGAGTTCGACTTTTCAACACACTAATGTGGTTTCGTCACTCGCGCGAACTGCCGTCCGCTGTGATTGAAAATTCAATTCAATGAATTGAAAATTTCAATTTACATTAACTAATGGTAATTGATTTTCAAATAAATGAATTGTAAAAAGTAATCATTATTTCAAACACCGAATAAAAGTATCTCACATTGTGTTTTTACTTGACCCCTGGAACATGTTTATTGATTGTTTAATAGGATCTTAGGCTCCCTTCCAAAAACTTGTAAATTTTCGAAATTTTTTGAACCGGCCAAAATTTTATCAACCGTTGAAAATATGAATATGGTTACTTCGGCCGAAAGTTACTTTTTTTAGTGCTCTTTCATTTGGTATATAAATGTCCAAAAAATATTTTTTAATAAAATACGCAACTACCACCGTGCGGAAAATTTAGACTCTTTATTTTACCCTCATTTTTGACATTTCTATTACTATGAACGTTCAGTGACCCATAATATGACATTGTTTTTGAACTCTAAAGTGTAGTAGGAAATGTCAGCTATCTGATACACACAATAAATGTCATAAATAATTTGGATACCGTATCGTAATTTTTCAAAGATGACCATTACCTTCACTTTTCCCCCATACAACAACCCCGTGCAGGTGATAAATTTAAATGGTTTTACCGAAAATGACCTTATTCCAATTTTTTCTATCTAATTTAACGGATCCACCCCTGGGAGCAAAGAAATAAATAGCTTGTGCCACTTGTACCACCCTAGTAGTCAGTTTCTAATAAATAGATTCGGCATACCAATGAACCAGAGACAAGATCCGATGTCAATTTAAAAAAAATCCGTACTTAAGTTCTTCAGTGACATCAATTTCTGGAATCACCGTACTGATGTTTTGTATTTTCTGTGAATCATGTATTTCATTTCTATTTTGAACATTATGCAACCTATAAGCTGTAGAAAAATGTTTGGCTAACATTTCAGCAATTATCTCAGGATCAGCAGCTTTGTTTCCACCACTCCTGGCAATTCATCACTTTTGTACCTTTTTTGATTAACCAAATTGAAAATCGTCAATCAATTGCTCCATCTGAAATTTGTAATCCTTTGTATGAATAACGCGCATTTTGCTTGCGGCATTGATGTAAAGATTCTTCTATTTTCCGCAGTATTGTTTCTATTTTTGTAATATATGTTATACCTCTTGATTTAGTAATGTATTGCCAATCTTCAAAGGCATCATTACTCTGTGATTGACATGTGATGAAATAAAATGATTCTATTTGTATGTCAAAAGTTGACCCGTTTCAATGAACTGATTGTTTATTTCGGCGTAATCTGCATTTTTCAAATCTTAATAAAATTGTTTCGCCTTTGGTTGATGTTGAATTTAATTTATTCATGTTAACCGTTAACTTGTGCCTGATAATGGATGATTTTGCGCTGAAAAATGTGCCATGGGTACTCAATAATTTATTTTCTCTAATTTTCTTTCATTTCTACGTTGAAAATTACTGACATGACAGTCAAACATTGGCCTAATCTACAATATGCCTATTGATTGGTATTTTGCGTTCGCAATTGTTTGTAGGATCCTATTTTTTTTCTTAATATCCACTTCAAACGAAAATGTTATTTTTGTAAAAATATTTTTATTTTCAAACGTCATTCAATTAAAACAATTTTTTAAATTATTCATTTACCATTAATTTTTGATAAAATCATTTACTGAATAAAGGTTTTTTGATTATATTAATTAATTTTTTTAAATAATTAAACGAGTTTCGTTGAAATGATGAAGAGCCAAAAACCCTAAGAAAAGTGTAACTCAAAACTAGTTTGTTCTGGAAATTTGGTTTGTTTAGCTAAATATATGCGTTTTCAGTGGATTATTGGTCTTTTCTGGATTAAATGTAAAATCGAGTGAAAGAAAAAGATTCAAATTGGGATCACATGCTTTCACCCCAAAATCAGTTCTTTTCACCAAACAATTATGACCATTTGTACACAAGCTGTAACTATTTTGTCTACTTCGTTTCTTTGTTGCAATTTTTCATCGAATATATTTATATATTGATATTTGATACATAGCAAACTCAACCAACGTTTGCTTTTGTTTAATGTCATAATAAGTTTTTATATTTTTAAGATGCTTTTTGAATAAGTAAAATCAAATTGAATTTTTTATATTTTGAAATGTTCAGTCGAATATTGTACAAAATGACTAAAATGGTCGCTACCAAAATGGTTTAGATGTTTACCTAAATATATCTTAAAAAGAACAAATATTCGGACAAGGAATATTTTTGTGAAAAATGTCTGTTCAAAATATTATTGTTATATATTGAAAATATATAATAATTCATAACGGGTGTCAAAGAAATATAAAATATTAATGCAAAGGAAACATTAAAAATAATTGAAACATCATTGAAAAAAATGGTAAATGATTGGATTTATACAACCGATTTGTATTCAAAATATTGGCCAATCCACGGGCAATAGATTATAATTTGTAATTCATTTTTTACAATTAAAGTAAAATAATAAGAATTGGCTGAAAAAGAAATTAATAATAACCAAATCGTACTAAGTTTCATCTTGAGAGAGAATGGCTCCTTTCACGGCTGCTGCTAGTTGAGCTTGTTTGCTGACCTTTCTCTAAAATCTTTTGATGAGGGGGAAGTCTATTGAAGAACGGATGACGCAATGCTTCTCCTGTTTGTTATCGAAAAAATTATTTTCTATTTAGTTTTTTTTTTCGAATAAAGAAGGGTTACCTAAATTTATTCTTTGACTTGGTTCATATTCCAACATTCTTTTGATCAAATCAAATAGTTCCAAATGTTCTTCGCAATCCGACATTAAGTAACGATTAAGTGGTTTACAGTGATCGCGAACATAACGACCTGCTGATGATTTTTCATCCCAGTTCAATTTTCCATGGTAAAAGTATTTGGTTTTGGTTTTGCTGTAAAGAACATGATGACTTAATGTTTATGAGTTAAAATTTCGAAAAAATTATAGATTTTTATTATTTCATTTAAAAGGAAATTAGAAAAATGGTAAAAACTAAACATGATTTCATGTTTATATTTTGAATTTATTAATTTTAACAAACAATTTTTTTTTATTTCTAAAGCGGTTTTCAAAAATGTTCAAGATATCAAAATAAAATCTTTCAAATATTTTATTGCTATTGTCTTACCGTGCCATTCTGTACGGTATTGTACCGAGAATACGTTCCATCATTGCTAAATGTTCTCGATTATCATGTGTTTGGAAGAGTGTGATACCCAAATATAACTCAAACATAATGCAACTGAAATTGAAAATTTTTCAAAAGGTCATTTAATTTAATAAATGTATTCTTAATAGTAAAAGGATCGCTTAATATTTTTATAACCAAGATAAATGCTACAACACAGCAGTTCTTATAGTTCAATTTTGGTTTTTATTATTAGAATTTAACTCACCCAATAGACCACACATCACACGGTTGAGACCATCCTAATTCTAATATAACTTCCGGTGCTCTATAATGTCTAGTAGATACAATTGTACTGTGATGTTCATGATCAAATGTAGCGCTTCCAAAATCAATTAGACGTACGTCAGTGCATTTCACTTTTCGAATTTCTCGACTCTAAAAAGTATAAATATAATATATTTTCTATAAAATTTTATTTACAATAGTATTTTTTATCAAAGTGCATATTCGGTTCAACCCTCCAAACCATCTGCGTAAATAATTTTTTCAGTGTAAATTTCATTAAGAACATATTTCCAAACAAATTATCAAAACATCAGTGAGATGTGCCGAAGATTCAAGTCCGAACCATTTTTTGAAATCAGTATTATGTTCTTAATATTAGAATAATTTGTTTAAGATGTATGCATAAGATGATGAATTGTATTTCAATAAATTCACCTTTTTGTGATTATAACATGTTGTGTATTCAGAATCAACAAATAAAATATTTTCTGGCTTGAGGTCAGTATGAGTCAGGCGGTTGTCGTGTAAAAATTTTACAGAGTAGCATAGTTGGTATGCCATGTGGCGCACATGATCCAGTGGGTATGGTTCGTAGTTATTTTCGCGCTGAAATTCAATAAAACAATAGTTAATCAATGTTATTCGAATTAGCCACTTCAATATAGTTTATACCAAAAAATCAAAAACACTTAGGCCGAGCATTTCGAATGCGATGCACATATGACCGTGGAAATCAAACCAGTCTAGCATTTTCACGCATAAGCTGAAATATAAAGCGTTACAAAAAATAAATATCTTACATTTGAAGGTGGCGATATCTAAGCTAATTTTCATTTACTAACATCCGAATTGAAAAATCAAACATTTCCAAATATAGCTTTATTTTCGCAAAAATATGTTTAGAACCATAAAATATATTTTTCATTTTTTCAACTATTTTTACATTTTTCACTATTTTATGATTAGAATTTTGAATTTAAAAAAAAAAAACATATTTTATTCGACTCGAATGGCAGCAAAAATGGTTCTAAAGATATATAAAAAATTTTATATTATCTGGTGTATTTTGTAACAATATATTTCATCAACGATATTTGGATTTCATTATTTTAAATTTGGTTAAGCTCAACATATGAAATCTATTGCATTTTATATTTTTCACATTTTTCCACCGTATTTCACTATGACACAAATTTTGAAATTACTAGTACGAGGGCTGCTCCATATATTTCTAGAATTTCATTCAATGTCATATTCGTTAAGTTTAACATTCTGTCATACGCGCGCTATTTGTATTGTTTACAGTGACATCTAAATTGCGTCTCAACAAAAAAATGAATTTTACTCGTGAAAATTTTCATGCGATAATTTACTACGACTTTGGATTGGGTGTATCTCAATAACAGTGTTTTGATCAACTTCATTTGGTCTTTGGCGATGAAGCTCCATGCAAGGCCACTGTATATCACTGGCTTACTGAATTCAAACGTGGTCGTCATTCGCTCATCGACGAATTCCGTGAAGGTCGTCCAAAATCAGTTGTTGTTCCAGAAACTATAGATGCTGTCAGAAACATGATAAAGCAAGATCGTCATGTCACATACCGTGAGATTGAGGCATCCTTGGGCATTAGTATGAGAAGCATACACACGATTTTGCATGAACATTTGGCCGTAAAAAAGATTTGCTCTCGTTGGATTCCACATAAATTGACCGATGACCAAAAATTAGCTCGTGTGAATTGGTGCAATGAAATGCTCAACAAATATAACCGCGGTGCATCATATTCCGTCTATAACATCGTCACAGGCGACGAATCGTGGATATATGCGAATGAGCCCGAAACTAAACAGCAGTCGATAGTATGGGTCTTCCAAAGTGAAGATAATCCAACGAAAGTTGTTCGCGCTCGAAGTGTTGCGAAGCAAATGGTCGTCTGTTTTTTCGCAATTAGTGGACATGTGGCAATAGTTCCACTAGAGGATTGTAGAACAGTCAATTCTGACTGGTACACCACCATTTGTTTGCCAGAAGTGTTTGGTGAATTAAGAAAAAATAACCACCGTCGCAGAATAATTCTTCATCATGATAATGCGAGCTCTCACACATCTCATCACACAACTGAATATTTGACCGCTCAAAAGATCGAATTAATGGGTCATCCACCGTACAGTCCTGATTTAGCACCCAACGATTTCTTTTTGTTTCCGAGCGTAAAGAAAAAACTGCGTGGTCAACGATTTTCGACGCCAGAAGAAGCAGTTGATGCGTTCAAAACACACGTTTTGGAGATATCGGTTTCGGAGTGGCATGAATGCTACGGCAAGTGGTTCGAGCGTATGCAAAAGTGTATCGACCATCATGGCGAATACTTTGAAAAACAATAAAGCCATTTGTGATAAAAAAAGATTGCGTTGTGTATGCTTTTATAGAAATATATGGAGCAGCCCTCGTATAGGAAGTTAAGGCACAGTTTATGTAGCTATTCTACATTTTCAGTTTTTCCCCTGCGCGTCCAATTTTTTTTTTAAATCATTGCATTTTTATATTATTCTGACCCCCGTCCTCCAATAGCCTAAATGAAATGTGCGGATAAAATTAGTTATAGTTGGCCATAAATTTGAGTGCGAAATTCCGCATCCAAAAAGTGAAAAATCGACTTTTCATCATTTTACCCTAATTGGGGACTCTGAATTGTTAGGAGACTTGGGGAAAAGGGGCACGAGACAAACATCATATCTAGGATATTTTGGCATGCTGATTCCGAATTTTTGGGTTTCAGGTTGAAAAAATCATACCCCTGGGGGTGGGGGGACTTGGAGGGAAGGTGTCTTAAAAAATTTCTCTCGTAATTCTGAACAACTTTGTAGTACATTATTTTTTGATCCGAGCAAATTTTGACATGGTTGGGTACTCCTACCCCCAATACCCTGATCGGGCAGCCCTTATTTTCACAAACCTATTTTTTTGGCACTTTACATCGATCTATATAGGTGAAATTGATAACTTTTTGTGACACTTTGGGTACTTTACTGGTGAGAGAGAGAGGATGCCCACACTCACGGCACATTATTAGTGATGGAACCCCAATGAAGTGTGAGGATTTAAAAGCCGCTGATTGGGACCTGCTTCGGCGACCGTATTTTGACACTGATGAAAGAACATCGCATAATGACAATCTTGTCACTATAAAGTTCCAAAATTCGTTGTTGTCAAACACGAAAAAGAAATCATGGGTGAGACTCAACAAAAGTTATTGAAAGCACAACAAACGTATGGTCTCGATCCAGGTCTTCGGCTGGTGATTGGCGGTATTTGTGTGACCAATTACAATGTTTCGAACAAGGAAAATCGCATATTTTTTTGCACCCTTATTGTTCTATTTACGGAGAGTAAACTACGAGGCAATCTACAACTCCTAATCCATTCCTTCGATTCATTTTCCATTCTGTTCCATTACTTATTGATTCGTACATATATGAAACATGTTGTATTCGAACATTGTCAATTTAAACATTGACATTTTTATGTACCCATGTGTGTTTACGTCAAAGTGGAAACGCAAAACAAACATAAACAATTGACATCAAAGCTTGTGTGAATAGTAAAATCGTTGTTTCAATTTGAAATTATGAAAATTAAAAAGAAATTAGACGGAAAATCATACAATACAATTGGATTAGGTGTCAGTTCCATCTGCATATCGAATGTAAATCAACAAATCATCTGATAAGAAGAAGTATAAACAAATTCAACAACAACAAAAATTCTACATGCCGTATGCATTTGATTTCAGTTCTTTGTTTATTGTGTTTTTTTAGATTTACATCGAAACATTTCATGATGATGGAAACAGAAATATCTTTGAAATTGAGAGAGAGAGAGAGAGAGAGAGAGCGAGAGTGTGTGTGTATGTCTGGCCGAATGAATGACTGAGTGAGTGAGAGATGATTGGGAAACCATTGGGAATGTAAGAAACTATATACATAGTTTGACCGCACTTAATCGCACACACATTGGGAAAAAACAAATTGCTGACAAATATTTTTGATTTGTTGTGTAGTAGAGAGATGAGCCGGTGTTCACACAACAGCATCAGAGCAACGCCACAGCGACATTACATTGGGCAGCGAATGTACGAACATACGAGAGCAGTAACACACACAAAGAGAGAGGGAAAGGGAGACACACATTTTTGTGAGTATTTTAGCCAGTCAGTGAAAACAAGATGTGTACAGTTTGTCGGAAATGGATTGAAATTTTAACAAATAAAATGGCATCACGCACACACACACACACACTCATCAAGGCACAACGAATGCTGTTCCTACGTAATAATGCTAACAATACGTTCGATTGTTTTTTAGATCGAGCAAAACAACGTACCGTTACCGGCTTTGTGCATGTGCAAACATGAAAATAGAACTATACAGAGCTAGTAGACATTCCATGTTGATTTAAAGTGAGAACGCATCAGCCGCAGACATTGAACAACAATCGAAGTGATCGGACGCATACAATATTTTGTCTTCTTAATCTGTCGATACAGTTTAGTTTTAAAATATTTATTATTCGGTGAAAATCGACAAAAAAGTTTTGTTTAAGTGTGCTGCTGAATTTTTAGTTGACAGAAGATAAAACGACGTCGCAAACCCACTGTTCAACGGAAAAAAACTCGGCAAACTTCGGCAAAAAAGCCATTGAAACGACAAAATCAAATGAGAGCAAAACGAGGTGAAACAATGAATAGAAACCTAGAACAACTCACCGTGGTGATGACACTGAATCAATTTTTGCGCGATGAAAAGTTGTTCCCAGACAAACAACGTCTGAGTGATTTGATTGAAAGCGTTGTGGTCAATTCCTCAAAAATGTTCAAATTGGCATCGCTTTATGTGCTCTTCATATTGAATCGGTTGGTTGACAGTGGTTCCGATGTCGAAATCCGTCGTGAATTTTTGGCCAAATTCAATGCAAACAAATATTTCAGAGCACTGAAAAAAAAACCACGGTATACAACAGCATACATATTGGACAATGAATTTCGTGATTTTCTCATCGAAAACGACATCGAAACCAAATTAGATTTCGAAAATGCCGATCATGAAATTTGCGATCGAACAATACGTGCGAAATGCGCAATTAATGGTGAAAATTCACATTAGGCGATACATGAGGAGATATTTCAAGAATTTGGGTGCAACAAAACACCAAATAAATAAAACCATGGATTATCTATGTGACCGGAATTCAACGTGCCGACCATAGCTGTCCACGAACGTTCGTTCGTAGAATATTTTTTTGGTCTTTTTGTTCGTTCGTTCGTTCGTAGAATTGTATTGCGTTCGTTCGTTCGTTCGTAGAAACTGAAATGTTCGGATTGTTCGTTCGTTGTTCGTACGAACAACGAACACGTTCGTTCGTTCGTAATTTATGAAAATTTATTTTCTCCAAATAAACAAATATTGTGATACTAAATGTAAATTGGAAAAACCTTAAATCGATTTTTCCCGCTTTTCCGATGGGAAATTGTGAAAAATAAGCAAAATATTGACTCTCGTACGAAATTTTTTTTTCTCACTTTTTTGTGCATTATACCCAGTCTCCGAGAGTTTCATATAAAGTTGCCATGTAACTGCAGAAAGTCAGTCGAAAATATTGAAATTTTATTTTTTTTCGTTTTTTCGACCGTCTTTGTGCTGCTACATAACTAGCTTATATGAAACTCTCTCAGACTGGGTATAATGCAAGAAAAAAGTGAAAAAAATGTTTTCGATATTTTTGTGCACTATACCGAGTCTCCGAGAGTTTCATATAAGCTTGCCATATAGCAGCACAAAGACGGTCGAAAAGACGAAAAAAAATTCCTTTTCAATATTTTCGACTGTCTTTCTGCTGTCATGGCAACCTTATATGAAACTCTCGGAGACTGGGTATAATACACAAAAAAAGTGAAAAAAAATTTTTCTTACGGGAGTCAATTTTGCTTATTTTCACGATTCCTCATCGGAAAAGCGGGAAAAAAAGATTTAAGGTTTTTCCAATTTACATTTAGTATCACAATATTTGTTCATTTTGAGAAAATAAATTTTCATAAATTACGAACGAACGAACGTGTTCGTTCTCAGCCGTTTTACATACAACGTTTACACGGTGTATTACAACGCGGTCACCTTGCGGCAGAGCTACGCGTCGGTCGTATATATTCTTTATGTATAGAGCGATGACCATAGCTCTGCCGCATACATGTGTGAGCGGGTCGAGTCTCGCATAGTATACATAAATAATACATACGACTGACGCGTAGCTCTGCCGCAAGGTGACCGCGTTGTAATACACC